ATTGAATGAAACAAATAATACTCCATTTGCTTCAACTCCGTGTGACATGACAGAAAAATTTTGCAAAAGCCGTAGCGCTTGATCTCAGCTGCAACCGCTGGAAACTAAAGGTATTCATTTGCATTAACCCAATATTTATATATTGTACAAAACAGTAAAATAATTAATGTCGTAGAATTGTAAATTATTTAGAATATAAAAATACAGAATTGCCTTATTGGGTAAAAATGAAAGTATGAAGACAAATAAGTAACATTAAAAAAAACATGGATAATCAGTCAGGAATAGGGTTCAAAGAGAGAGAGACAATTATAGACAAGTGATACTTAATAATTCAAGCCGTATGATAGCTAGTTACGACATAGAGCTTTAAATAGATACTTTTAAGGAAGGCCATTTTCATGCTGATAATTCCTGTTTCTTATATGATAAACATATAAGAATATTATGATAACTATGATACACATATAAGAATATGATAAACATATAAGAAAGAAGCCTTCGTACATCGAAATCCCTGCACCATCCTGCAGCCAGAATTCGGTTATCGGGCAAAGCTTCCATTACGCACAGTTATTTATCATCAGTAGGTTATATATAATGTTGAAAAATTCGATAAAATTTTTATAATAAATATAAATATTCGCCATGTTGTTAATCAAAGTCTACACATATTTCTTCTTATTGTCGAAGATTTTCTGCAAAGAATCATTCTTAACCCGTAACTGACTAAGTAAAATTTCAATATGGTTCTAAAATATACATTGTATAGACATTAGTTGTTTCTAAGTAGGGAAGTTGAAAAATGAGTAATACACTCGGCAGGACTCGAACCACGGATCTCTCGAATACGCGCCGAGTGTGCTGACCACTACACCATGAAGGCATGCGAAGAAGGCGGGGAAGTACCTTATATACACCCTTTTAAGGGGGCTCATACACCTTAAACACCTTACGATCTTCGAATATGTGACTGTTGCAAGAATTAGCATATTTGATTTATTATAAAAGCAATTACTTTCAACGTTTTACAGCTGTCTACATAATATAGCTGCTTTAGGAACTAGTAATCGGAAAGTTTGTGTTGCCACAAATATTTTTGTAATTTAATTCACTTTGTGACAAAATGTTTCGTCATGTTTCCACCTTGCGCGCATGACATTTTAAAAATGGCTAATGGTACATACTAATTTGATGGAATTCTTTATGTGGGCACTATTTTCTAAGTGAACCAAAAATCTGATGAATATTTTAATATTAAAAAAATTTATGCATGAAAACATTACAGATTTTTTAATAAAATACATTTTACAAACTCATCTCCAAATAAAATAAAAATTTAACATGAAATTCTTAGGATTTTTGGTTCACAGTAGTTTCCAAATGTTATAGAAGCTATATATTAAATATGGAATTAAATTATGTAACAGAATGTTTTAAACTGTGCGCGCAAGGTGAAAACATGATGAAAGATTTTGTCAGAAAGCGGATTAAATTATAAAAATATTTGCGGCAACACAAACGTTATGCTTACTAGTTCAGAAAGTAGCTATATTATGTAGTCAGCTGTAAAAAGTTGGAAGTAATTGCTTTCAAAATAAATAAGTTATCCCAATTCTTTCAACAGTCTCATATTCGAAGATCTTATGGGTTTTAAGGTGTATGAGGCCCCTTAAAGGGCGACTGGGGATTAGGAGACTCAATTGCCAAATCCTGGTGGTGGAGAATCATCATTTCTTTAGTTCGGGCGCCACTGTAGAGAAATTATGTTATTTCGAAGCAATAGAGATGAAAAAATAACATTGCCCTCGCCGGGAAACGAACCACGGACCTTTCGAATACGTGCCGAACTTGCTGACTAGTGCACCACGAAGACATGCTAAGCTGGCGGGAGAAATACCTTATAACCTTTTACGCAGCACTTTATGCAACACAATTCTTACTGGTCGGATTTGAAAATGGCGGATGTTGGAAATATCTGCAACATTCGTAAGTCAGGTCTGATTCTTCGTATTGCGGTAAATCTTCATATTGCCGAATTTTTTCTTCATACTGTTGTAATTCTTTTATAATATTTCTTTATATTGCCGTAAATCTTGTGTAAGGTATTATTCCTTTCCACAGACGAGGAGATAAATTTTCGCACGCTAAAAAATATATTTTCTGCTTAATATAGCTTCGAACACCATACATAAAGCTCTGCTATTAACATGTGATCTTTAGAGCCACAACCAATAAATCATCAACAATTGCGTAATTTATTTAAAGAATGTATTCCATTAAAAGACAATAAAATTAAAAGAAAAGCTCGACACTGTTTACTCAAAATGTCATTAAAATATCGTTATATGTGGATTTCATTTAGAGCCATGCGTGCACTATTAATGTTTTGCGAAATTATATTCTTTTTAGCTTAATAAGTCGTATCAAGTTAAATTCCTTATTGCAGTTGAATTATCTTAATAACACTAATCTTATCAAATCAGGAATAATTAAGTCTAAGAAGATTATTTACCTTAATAATAAGAATCCAATTAGTAGAAAGAAATAATTGAGTGGCTATTAATAAGGCTAAAAGAAGTTCTTCTGAACATAAAGTACTAACTGCAAAGAATTATCTAAGGCTGTAAAAAGGAAAGCCGAAGAGTATGCTAATAAAAAAGTAATTAACTACGTAATTAATTGATATGTAATTACACAATGATTTTTAAATTGATTAACAACCTATCTTTCATAAAAAAAGCATATAGTAGTTAATATTCGTTTCAATGAAACTAAAGTAAATTTTCAAATATTCTCTGAAAGTTTAAAATTAGAGTTTTTAATAAGAGTAAGTTGTTTTTAATAGAAACTAAGTATAATATTTTATAATTTGAGAAAACGCTTTAATAAAGTATATGAATTACACAATCGTATCGCTTTATTCTGAATGTAGAATTTTTTTTTTTTTTTTTTTTTTTTTTTTTTTTTTTTTTTTTTTTTTTTGAAATGGGATTTTATTAACTTTAAAATAGTCATATTTCACTAAATGTGAATTTATTCGAGAAATTTGTGGTCGATGCTTCGCTATTTTAACGTTTGGGTAAATTGTCATACAAAAATTGAATATAAATTTGACTTATTTTATAAATTCACTAGAACTTAAAACAACGAAAAAGAAGAGAAAACCAAAATTTTTAAGCATTTTTTTATCAAAACTTTTATTAAAATATTTGTCAGAAATTTAAATTAACTATCTCAAAAGATTTTAACAAAAATCAGCAACTAATTCTGAGCATTAAAAATTTGAAAAGCATTAAAAATATCAGTATAATACCTTATAGCCAGTAAAATATTTCATACATATAGACTGCAAACATATAAAGTTACATAACGAAAAAATTACAGCAGGTAAAAACAAATTTAAATAAGGTTGAACTCTGAAAATTAACCACAAATATCTATATAAAATATGTTAACTCCATTAACATATGTCTAGAAAATTAAATACAATCAGTAAATATAGATATATAGGACATCTACATATATGACGATATGTAAATAAAATTAAATATGATCAGTAATGGAAGACACAAGCTTGCTACATACAGAATAAAAAATGTCAGTGTCATATACGTAATTGGAAAATCAGAACGAATAAGTTTTTGCAACTCATTTAAATTTTTCGCGTACTATCACAGAAGTCGTAAACGTTTGTATAATATCTATATGTAGCTGTATAGCATCTGTTGTATGCACAGATGTTATACGACTCATGTTATAAACGGATGCTATATAGCTGTATATTATCTGTGTATAACATAGATATGATATATAGCTATATAACATAGATGCTGTATAGCTATATAAAGTAGTATCTGTATATAGTATGAGCCGTATAAGCCACAAATAAACTGTATGAGCCACATAATATCTATATGAAATATTTCAGCAAAACGAAGATCAGCAAAACATAATGAAAGGCACAAAATTATTAAATGTAAGACTAAAAATATTCGCGTTGAGTTCCTCATTTAAAAATTTAGATCTCATAAACATTTGGCACTACTTAAAATCTTTCATGCATTATCCGGAACCATTTAATACCATGTACTATCCAGAAGCCATGTAAATCTGTACGACAACTATATATATATATATATACCTGTATGGTATTTTTGTTTAACAAGCCATGTAACGTCAGTACCAAATATTTTAACTCATTTGCGATATTTAGACAAAATTAAATCAAATCTGTACAGCATAATATAAAGTCCAACATTCTTAAGACCTTAGAAGAAAAAAATCACATCATCATGATGTTAACATGAAATTCAAATCGCATAAATTTTTGTAATTACTTCAAATCTTTCAGGTAATCCCCAGAAGGCCGTGTAATGTCTGTATAATATCTTTATATAAATGTATAACATCAGTAAATAAAACGAAGGGTGTAACATATAAATAAAATATCCTATCGCGTTTGATATATATAGACAAAATTAAGTAGTATCCGTAAAACATAATGAAAGACACATGATTACTGAACATTGCATCAAAAATCATAATAATGGGTTCTTAATTAAAAAAAATTCATGTAATATACTGGAGCCATATAACATTTGTATAGCACCTGTATATATCTGTAATAAGAACTTTTTTTAACGAGCAGCGTAATATTTGTATAAAACAAGGAATATTAATAGAGACAAAATTAATAAGATGGGTGTACAGTTGTGAAGCACAGGTAAAAAAATCTCACTGTGAAATTTCTAATTTAAAAATCATATGGCATTAATTTTTGTATCTCCTTTAAATCTTTCTTATGCACAATCCATAACTGCGTTTTTAGGACTTTCTACCTAAAGCGCAAGTTAAGAAATCATCGCATTTCCCTAAAACTGATCATCATCAGCTCAATGCAACCCTTCTCTATTGAGAAGAGAGAAAACTCATATCCGCGACGTGCTCCGGAATCGGGAAAAAGGTGAGAGAAAAACGGGGACGGATTGATGACTTACGCGGTGGGCATTGTCCTCTTCGCCTGTTGCTCCGGGTGGCGCTCAATGAGCGGCTGGAAGCTGAGCGCCTCAGATTCGCAAGAGGCCACGCATGCGCATTAGCACCCTGCATCCGGAAACATCCGCGAGAGGATGGCGAAGAGTCCGCTCCGCTCTTTTCTCTGTTTACGTCTGGCAGCGTTCGAAAAGAAAAAGGGATCACTCTTTCCCGTGTGAGGTTTACATCCGGGATCACAGTATATTAGCAATTCCGGACGGGGAACTAGTATAGAGGCGAGAGAATTACAGAACACGAAACTTCCAAGCGTCTGCAGAGAAATAAAAATAGTTTAAATTTCTGAAGGCACAAATTTTAACGAGCCGTGTAAAGTTTGCTAAAGATCAGTCGACGGAAACTGTCAAGGGATTGTTTGAGTAGGGAAATGAAGTTGTACGATATCTAGTCATTCTTGAAGACAAATTAACGTTAATTAACTTGATATTTATAACAAAATCACTACAGTCTTCAAAGTGAACACTCGTATAATTTCTATCCTAAATGCTAGCAGATATGGTTTAAAAACAAAACAAGAATTAATAAAGGTACAACAGTTAGAGCACTTCCTTAAAATTCAAATTGAGAAGCATCTGTAAAACTTTATCCAACAAAATTTATTTCGGATATAACTTTGACGATTTCATCCAAGATGCAGCTAAAACAAAATAATAATAATAATAATAATAATAATAATAATAATACTGTAGATTTAAAAACAGGTGAACTTAGTTTTATTAGTTAAAAACCAAAAAATACAGTGATTTTAAAAATAAATAAACTTATTTTTATTACATTTGTGATTAGAGTTTTAAAAACTGAAATCATAACAAATAAAACTTGCAGCAGCAGGTAATTTGAAGTAATTATTTAACTCAGTAACATAGTTTGTTTATTAAATCGATAGTAGTAAAGCATGAAAGAGCCATTTGCGTACGGAAATTGTACCTTTATGGAGAACTTTCAAAGGGATGACGTTATGCATAGGAAAAAACGCCCAGGCAACTAGTCCGCTGGCTGCTATACGAACTTTAGTAGACCTACCAGTATTTAGGAGTTTTATCCATTTGAAAACTGACAAACTAGCAATGACGCAGTCAAACATTAAACTAGCGATTATACTGGAGTTAATGAAACTTATAATACTTAAATAGAGGGCGTGTATTAACTGTATTTTAAACATGACAAACATTGAAAATCTGTTAAGATTTGAGTTTGCATTTAATATTTATTTTTATGTTTATCAGTTATTTTGCTATTTATTTTGTTGTTATGAAGAAATACAACAAAACCTCACTTAACCATCAGCAGTGAGATCTGGCATATTCCGAATAAGAAATTTTTCCGAATAAATGCAAATATATATTTCTAGAACTTACCTGTTCATGTTTCATAATGCCATCTGTAGAAATTCAGCATGTGAAATCAGCTAATCCTGTTTTTAGAGTGATCGATTCCTGTAAATAAATACTATCGAAATTCGAACAGATTATTTAAATTAAAACATATACGCATGTTTTTTTATATTTTAAGAAAACAAAATGAAATAACATTTTAAAACTGTCATGTAAATATACTCCATGAACGTTACGGATTTCTTACTTGATGGCATATAACTTAGAATGTTTGCCTGGTCACAAGATCGTCGACAGAACTTCGAAAATTCACTGTGCATATAATGAAGCTTCATAACATCCTGCACTGATGTACATCAAAATTTTCGGCTAATCTTATGCAAGAAAGTTCGCAATTCTTTGTCAACTTCTCTACACATAACGTTCTCGCATTGTGCTTTCTTTTAGTCTTCATTTTAAACTTCCTCATTATCATCTTTCTCTTTTCGCACAGCATATTCGATTATTTCGTCATCATCTTGAGGTAGCGTAATTCGAACACAGTTGACTATATTCACCAAAGCTTGCATCTTAGTTTCTACAACAATGTGGCATTTATGTATAAGTTAACATAAAACATTGTTAGTTACATAAAAAAAAACTAACAAAATGTTATTTTAATTTACGTCTTTTTTCTCATTCTCAATGAGGTTCTCTCATTCTACAATTAATGTGGAGTTGAGCAGCATGAGTAATAGTGAGTAGGTAGATTAAGTACGTAATAGTGAGTATGGGAGCTGAGCAGTAATGAGTATGTAGAGTATACAGTAGTTACTATAGAGTAAATATGTGTTAGTGAGTATGTAGTAAGTATGTGATGAGTATGAGTGTGCGTGATTAAGTAATAGTGAGTATGTAGACTGAGTATAAGATTATGTAGTATGTAAATTGAGTATAAGAGTATGTAGATTGAGTATAAGAGTATGTAGATTGAGTATAAGAGTATGTAGTAGTGAGTATGTAGATTGAGTATAAGAGTATGTAGTAGTGAGTATGTAGATTGAGTATAATAGTATGTAGTAGTGAGGATGTAGATTGTGTATAAGAGTATGTAGTAGTGACTATGTAGATTGAATATGAGAGTATGTAGTAGTGAGTATGTAGATTGAGTATAAGAGTATGTAGATTTAGCAGTAGTGAGCAGCATAAGTAACAGTGAGTACATAGTAGTGAATATGCAATGAGTATGTAGTGAGTATATAGTAGTGAGTTTGTAGTAGTAGTAGGGAGTGTGTGAGACTGAGTAGTAGTGAGTACGTGAGCTTAAGTAATAGTGAGTATGCAGTAGTGAGTATGCAGGAATGAGTACGTAGCTTGAGTGAGTAGCATGAGTAGTAATGTGAGTAGTAGCATGAGTAGATTTGAGTGGTAGGGAGGTTCTTAAACTTTATGGCAAAAGTGCTGTTTTATTATAAAGTTTAAAGATTTACGAATACAGCTTGAGATTTTGGACTGCATTCCATGCCCTGCCGCTTGAAGAAAACAGACTGTTGACGACGCTAATGCTTGTCGTACTGAGAATACTTTAGACCTGGGCTTTCTCAGCCAGAGGAAAATTTCATAGTTGAAGGAGTAATCCGATCAAACTTTTATTTAGCTGTTAAGTATTTCGTTTTAATTTATGAATGCAGAACACTACTTTTTTTCCAAGTTAAACAATATTTTCTATATTTTTTGCTGACCCCCATGGGGTTTGCGTGACCTGCAGCAGGCGGTCGCCAAATTTTTAGCAGTTTTGATATTTCTTTAACTTATTATAATAATTTTACAATTACCAAATATTTTTACACAATGTATTATCTGAAAATAGATGAAGATAAGACATTACAGATAAAGAGAAATGAAAACGTTTCGACGCATTCCTTTTATAATATAAACGTTCATTTTACTTATTTTGCACGTGACGCTGTCATTTCGTCTGTTACTTATTTAAAATTTTCACATTGTTCTGTCTTAAAATTAGAAATTGAAGATAATGATCTAAAACTGCACAAATGAAAAAATTGACAGTTTCACTCACGTGTGTGTCTTATTCGCGCAATGCTATGAGGTCCCATAAAATTTTCGTAAATATTATGGGGTCTTGGAGTAGCGAAAGAAATTTCAATGTTAAAAAGGGGTCGCGATTGAAAAAAAAATTAAGAAGCCCGATCTAGAGTCCCGTTCACATGCACAGCCAGTTCTCTTTCGCATAGCCACCGTTTGTGTTAGGGAGAAAAAAGGGGGGATAATGAGCAGTTTCGCTTTCAGGACCGGTTCATATGCACATCGTTCTTCCATTCTTTAACTCACAAGCCACTGCGAGCAATGATGTCACAAAAGTGAATCTGACTGGCGGATTTCTAATGCTCGTTTACATGTTTCTTGATATTGTTGACTATTCCTATAGAACGCTAGCGGAGTTTAACTCTTTAATTAATTAAATACACCTAAATTAATTTAAAATGAAATTTACATACTAGGCCAAATGGTTAAACGAAGAGAGGAAATCACATATGCTGCTGAACGGTTTTAAATAAAATGTTTTATGTCTCTTAAAATTTAAAACTTTGCTTTTTGAAAAAAAAAATTAATGAAACAACAAATTAATATTATTAATATTAATAATGAATGTTTTAGAAAATACATTATAGTTAATTTATGCATTAAAATTGTTTATATATATATGTGTGTGTGTGTGTATTGAAACTCAATAATAAGACTTTTAAGAAATTTGAAATGATTTAATGACTAAAAGGCGTGCATGTAGCAAAATATAAGTTGAAAACCACTGCTTTAGACTGAGGTTTGATCCTGTTTGGTAAGTATGTGTTCGAAATTCTGTCGCGATCGAAGCAATCTTGTTGTTGTCTCTAGCCTTTTATGTTTGCATATTTTTATTTAATTCCTCACAAGTAGTGATGTAGAATAATCCTAAAATATTTTAATTCTGTTTTTTTTTTTTTTTTTTTTTTTTTTTTTTTTTTTGTGTGTGTGTGTGTGTGTGTGTGTGTGTGCTTAGCTATTTTGGTGGTGATAATTCCCTTCAGAGAACAAACTTAACATTTAATTTTTATAATAATTGGCATTCCTAAGTTAGCTGGAACTCACAGCAAGGTGTTACATATTAAACTTATGAACTTCTATGAACTGAACATAGATACCGTTTAGGGATACCGGACGTGTTTTAAAACAAAAAGAATCTTGCCACCTGGACACATCTTTCACGAACGTAATCTCAGGCTATAATTTATGCTAACAGCGTAATGCTAAGTAATGTTCTTTACATTTTACGCGAGGGTAAGATTCAAACTAAATATGGCGTCTTTCAGTGTGAAATGTCTCTGAAATTCATGAACATAACCTTTAACGTTCATACAGTATGAGGACTGTGGGAGAAAGAATCAAATTCTGGAGTTTCGTGGACATGAGATACAACTTTGCAGAGTGTAGCCAAATATTTATCCTATTACATATATTTCTTTTTATCTCATGGGCCTAAATTAAATCTAGACCTCCGAATTTGTCGTTACTTTTATATTACCGGTTAATTGGATGCCATTTTATTCTATCTGGAATAATACCATAAAGTATAAATTTGTGGTGGGAAGAATCAACCTGACCCCCATATTTCTCTATTTCGAACAAAAGGTATGTTAGATAAGGCCCTCTACTAACAACCGAAGTAGGTTTTATAATGATCCATCAAAGTAACAAAAAACTAGT